TCCTGGACAAGCCCTCAAAGCCCACTTGTGACCACTGCATGGAACAGTTGTTACCACATAGGACAAGTTTTGCATTCCTGAGAGCTGTAGAATTTCAACCATGGGTTAGAGACTAACTTGTGCAGGAAGCTCAAAGGAGATGCCCATATTTAGAAGAGGAAGGGATGACAGAAAGGCAAGCTGGGTGGGAGTCATGGTTGGGGAACATGTTCACGCATGCGTCACGCATGTCATGGTATTTCCTGATGAGTCAGTGATCATTACTAAGACACAGGTGTGAGCTTGTTATCACATTTTTCCCCTTTCTCAAACATTCCAGAATCTGGCACTGGGCTTGCCAGCTGACAAACGTGACACATTAGTGAGAAGCTAGTGTCCAACTACAGGGCTGAGAACTAAAGGGAGCAGAGACTGAGTTCCCAGCAGGCCCACCAGGGCAAAATTTCAAGGCCTGAAATGTTGCCTGATTGGTTCCCTTGGTGACACCCTTTCCTGCTGACGAGCTTCCTCATTCTGTCCTGATTCATGGCTGTCTGCAGCCTAGCCCCAACCCTCTCCCTCAAATGTGTGACCTAGAAGAGGTTATTTTTAATTAACAGAATTGTGTCCCCCCCCAAAAAAAAACCCCATTATATCCTAACCTCCAGGACCTAGGAATGTAACTATATATAAAAGCTACTCTTTAAGAAGTCTTTTAAACCACATGTAGTCTTTAAAGAGAAAATTAAAATTAGCTCATCAGTGTAATTTACAATCTGAAACCTATAATGTCTCCTAAAAGGAAATTTGGACATAGAAAGACGGATGTATATGCTGGGCACTTGTGGCTCATGCCAGTAATCCTAGGTATTCTGGAAGTTGTGATCTGAGGATCATGATTCAAAGTTATCTCAGGCAAAAAGTCCTTGAGACTTTCATTTCCAATTAACCAGCAAAAAGCTGAAAGTGGAGCTGTAATGGACAGTGCCCAGAATCTGTTTAACCCCATTACACACACACGCGCGCGCGCACACACACACACACACACACACACACACGCACACAAATGAAAAAATCCTGCTATCCACTGCCTGTTAATCTTCCAGTATGATGAACCCTTGTGCACCTTGGCTTTGCTGTCTCATCTGTCATTAAGTGTATAGTGTTGGATGTGGTGAAGTCGGCCATGCAAACCAGGTCAGTCTAGTCTATTGTTAAGTTTCCTTGTGGGAAGAGCAGCAGCAAAGTATATTTGCATGTGCAATCAGGAACAATATCCTACACCTATGACAATACATCTGGAGAATCTGTGAGGCCATTTTAGGCATTAACTGCAATGATGGTAAACGACAAAACCCCTCCTTTGTGAAGCTGAACCATCGAAGGCTGGGCCGAGTGACATAGCGCAGTCCAAGCATGCATGAGGCCCAGGTTCCATCCCCAGCACAAGTGAAAGCACAAGCAGCCAGCTCCTTTCTTCTCATTCTGCTCCTAGGTGGTCATTCTGAAATAACAAGGATTTAAGATTTGGAGCCCATTATTTTACAAATGAGAACACTAAAGGAGGTTGAGTGGTGGGTCATGGTCACTGTGTTTTGTGGCAATAAATGCTGGAGTGCTGGGCCGGGTGGCATCCTCTGGTAAGGATTCATTTGGAGTCAGTGAAATTTCTCATTCTATATACTTTATCAGTGTGAGTTACACTGCAGCTAACAAGGGATTTGAACTTCCCAGAACTTCATTATGGTGGGCAAGGCTGTTGTTGGGAAACTGCATATAATGGGGTTTAGGCAAACAGCAGAAAACTTGTATTATGTCCAAAATAACCAGTTGCATGGGAAAATCCCAGTTCTGGAACTTCCCTTGGATTGCCTCATGGAATAGAGTAAGAAAACTGAACATTTCATAACAGTTCTGACAGCGCTGGTGTCTCTTGTGGACTGGAAGAAGTCACCTGGTGAGATGGCTGTTCAGGAGTACTCAAACTGAGAGAACTGTAAAGTGTTCCAGGGCTAGTACTTGAAACCAACCTAGAATCTGGAGTTCTGGTACTGTGTCCTGCAAGAGCCTTAGATAACCCATTCCTGGGATAGTTGGAGTTACCAAATTGAAAAACCATGATGACTTGACTGTAAGCAAAGCTAACTTCCTCTGCTCTTTGAAACAAGTCCCTACTCTCCTGTTTGTAGAATATGGAGTTACTGGATTGTCACATGTGGATTTAGAAGCCTGAAAAAGGCCAAATAAGCTGGGGGTCGGTGGCTCACGCCTGTAATCCTAGCAACTCAGGAAGCTGAGATCTGAGGATCACATTCAAAACCAGCAGGGGCAGGAAAGTCCATGAGTCTCTTGTCTCCAATTAACTGGAAGTGGTGGTATGGTTCAAGTGGTAGAGTGCTCATCTTGAGCTGAAGAGCTCAGGGACAGCGCCTAGGCCCAGAATTCAAGGCCCACAACTGACTAAAAATTAAAAAAAAAAAAGGACAACAAACTATGACCATAGCATTGCTGGAATTAAACGTGATAATGTATGTACAGAATTTGGTTTTAGAAAAGATTCAATGTTAGCTATTATTACTTTAAATATTATGGCTTGGATACAGGTCCCACATAGGGCCCATGTGTTAAGACTTGGTCCCTAGTCTGTGGTGCTATGGGATGAGGGGTGTGTGTGTGACAGGACCCTTAAAGTGGCACCTAGTGGGAGGGAGTGAGGTAACTGGGGGTGTGTCCTGGAAAGGGGATTTGGACCCATCCTTTCCTCATTTTACTTCACAGCTTCCTCTGCAATCTGGTTCTGGTTCCCACTAGGTTGTCTTGCCATAGGCCAAGTGAGCATGGGCTAAAACCTCAATGGTGACCCAAGATAAAGTTTTCCTCCTAAAAGGTGATTATTTCAAGCCAGGCACTGGTGGCTCATGCCTGTAATCCTAGCTACTCAGGAGGCTGAGAACTGAGGATCGCAGTTCAAAGCCAGCCCGGGCAGGAAAAGCCATGAAACTCTTTATCTTCAATAAAGTACCAGAAAAACTGGAAGTGGCGCTGTGACTCAAGTGGTAGAGTGCTTGCCTTGAGTTGAAGAGCTGCAGGACAGCACTCAGGCCCAGAGTTCAAGCCTCATGACAAACAAAAACAGAAACAAAACAAAAGGTGACTATTTCAGGTATTTTGCTACAGCAATAGAAAGCAAACACATTAAGTAACAATCTAAACTACCCATTACTAGATGTACTCAGGGTACCATGAAGATCCCTTTTAAGGTCTAGTGGTAGAATGCCTGCCTCACAAGCATGAGGCACAGTGGTAGAGCGCATGTCTTGCATGCATGAGGCCCTAGGTTCCATTCCTCAGCACCATATGAGCAGAAAAAGCCAGAAGTGGCACTGTGGCTCAAGTGGTAGAGCACTTAGCCTTGAGCTGAAGAGCTGAGGGACAGTGCCCAGGCCCAGAGTTCAGGACCCAGGACAGACCAAAAAAAAAAAAAAAAAAGCCTGGCACCAGTGAGTCACACCTGTAATCCTACTCAGGAGGCTGAGATCTGAGGATTGTGTTTCAAAGCCAGGGCAGGTAGGAAAGTGTGAAACTCTTATCTCCAATTAACCACCCAAAAACTAATGCTAGCCTTGAGCTGAAGAGCTGAGGGACAGCACCCAGGCCCCAAGTTCAAGCCCCACAACTGACAAAAAACAAAACAAAAACAAAAGCAAACAAACAATGGAGAAAGTCCCTTTGATAAAGATTTAATAACAAAGTACTGCTTAGTATTTCTCTTCTTGGACTGCTCAGTGGTAGAGTGCTTGCCCCATGACTGACAAAAAGAAAAAAAGAATTTCTCATCTTTCATGGGTAAAAATCAGAATTCTCATTTAATGAACAAAGTAATTGTGATTCTTCAGTTTCCAAAGATGGGGCATCTTTAGTAACACATTTCACTCAGATTTCATAGTTGGCTAAGTGCAGGAGTTAATGACCAAGAATATCTCTGTGAGAGTGATTTTTTGGGGGGTTGGTCGTGGGCTTTAACTCTGGGCCTGGGCGCTGTCCCTCAGTTTTTCAGCTCAAGGCTAGCTAGCACTCTACCACTTGAGCCACAGCACCCCTTCTGTTTTTTTCTGTGTATGTGGTACTGAGGAATCAAACCCAGGGCTTCATAAATGTGAGACAAGCACTATAATACCACTAAAGCCACATTCCCAATACACACCCCCCCCTTTTTTAAAAATAAAGTATTAAGAATAGGTCAAAGCTGGGACCATTGCCACATGCTTGTAGTTCCAGCATAAGGAGGCTGAGGCAGAAGGATATCGAGATTGAGGCCAGATCAGGCTTCAAACCCCCCCCCAACAAAAAAGATTAGCAAACCATAACTATGGTAACAAAAGTAAAATTGATAGAAAAAAAATGTTGGCAGTTTAACTGTTAACAGGCATGATTAAAACCTACATTTGGCCAGGCACTGGTGGCACACAGCTATCAACTTAGTTATTTAAGAGGTTGAGATCTAAGGGTTGCTGTTCAAAGCCAGCCCAGTCCGGGAGACAATTGTACCACTGAAGATATAACCCTAGCCCTATTTTTTCTTTCTGCCAGTCCTGGGGCTTGAACTAAGGGGCTGGACACTGTCCCTGAGCTTCTTTTGCTCAAGGCTAATGATCTGCCACTTGAGCCACAGTGCCAATTCTGGTTTTTCTGGTGGTTAACTGGAGATGTGTCTCACAGATTTTCCTGCCTGGTCTGGCTTTAAACTTCAATCCTCAGATCTCAGCCTCCTGAGTAGCTAGGATTACAGGTGTGGGCCACCAACACCCGGCACAAAATGACTTTTACAACCTTTAGTTCATTAACTAGCATTTGAAATAGTTAGAAACGTTACTATATTAAAACAATATTTCAAAAGCAAATAAACTAGAACTTGTATTTAAAAATGAGTGATGGATGATGTTTACTGCCAGCAGGAGATTCAAAGTGAGGGAAGCACTGAGCTATCTCTGAGGACATATGAAAACTTGAGTATCAGCTCATTTGGCAGCCTTTAAAATTTCATGTTTATTCATATTTTTCAAAATATATGTACATTAAAAAAAGGAAGATTTACAACAGGAAAGATTGCTTTAACATGCAACACAAATTCCAATGAACTCATGATGGGATCACACATGATTATGATCTAATTCAAGCCAATTTTCTCAAGTCCATTTCCCAGCCACACTTAACGCTGCAAAAGGATCCCAGGAGACAATGCAAGTGGAATGAATGTAAAACAAACACCTTTTGTCTCTGGTGGCACTCAAGGGGTCAGAAGATGTACACCAAAAAGTTTAAGACAATTAAAATGTCAAGTGCCACAGGGAAGATATATGACAACCAGAAATTGGGATTTCTCAAATAGAAAGCTAGTGCTATTTAACACAACTTCACAATACTGAAACAAACACAAATAAAAAAGGGTTAGGTAGTAGGGCTTCATTTGCTTTTTCTACTTTTTTTTTTAACTATTTCAAAAAGGAAGCCACTTGCTTGATATCAAAAGTGCTCTGGAAAGGAGGGGAAACCCACAGATGAATCTGACAGCTACTTTATGTTAGCAAATTGTGTTCCTTAACATTTCTACATTAGCAATGATGTAACTCTCCAACATTTCCTTATAAAAAAAGGCAAATAGGAAGTGATAATTCATGTTCCAAATATTAAAAAATATATTTCAACATTTGATCAAGACGACTTCATATGCTTTGATTTTTTGGTAACATAGATAACACCAGAAATCAGATTCAATATATTCGCCTACTTTCCCGTTGCTGTTAAGTCAAGTGGCAGAGAGAGGTTGTGCTCGCCGCTAAGGACTGCAGTGTTCTGGGCCTGTGAAAACACCTGGGAGGTGACCAAGGGGAGAGGGGCTAAATGCCAACTGGGTTTACCATTGGAGAGAAAGGGTTAGTGGAGTGACTTTTAGATATAGGATTAGTATAGCTGTAGCTGAATTCTGTAGGCAGGCTTTGCAATTAAGTCAGTGCTAGTCTGCCTCCTCTAGCACCTGACCAGCATCCTCATCCTGTTTTTGATGCTTTCTACAAATATAAAAAATCTCTGCAACTGTTTAGATAAAACTGGAAGGGGAAAAAAAAGCTAAATTAGATCATTCAAAAAAGAAAAAAAAAAAAAACAAAACAGAATGGAGGTAGGGGGAGGAAGAGCAAAAAGGGTAGTACAGGTTCCATAGTTTGGGAGTCCAGGATTACTGGAGAAATTAAAGTGACTGAGGGAAGGGGCAGGCACCAGGAACAGTGCCCTAAAGCTAACAAATGCCTAGCCTGGTTTGTGTTCCCTCCCCACAATGTCCACATGGGAGGAAAAAATTAATTTTAAAAGCATTAAACTAAAACAAATGCATACTGACCTAATAAAATATTTAGACTTTTGAATTTTATCATGATACCCTTTCTTTCTATACAATTTACTTTTTTGCCTTGAAAGACTTCTTCATGGTGGATTTACCCTTGCCAGGCAATTTCACTTCCTTTCTTGTACTGGCTGCAGGCTTTTTTGAGGAGCTACTACTAGGTTTCTTGATGACTGAGGGTGAGGGTCTGGCTTTCTTGGCAGGAGTTTTGGCCTTAGGAGGGGCTTTCTTGGGTAGGGGCCTAGTTTTTCCCCGCTGGGCAGCTGGGACTTTAGGTGCAGGCTTGGATCCTCTCTGCTTCATGGATACAGTCTTCCCTGGGGACTTGGCAGGAGTTTTCTTCTGCAACCTGTGAGATGAAAAGAGTGAAGACAGTCAGGATGGGGAGATTCATTTACCAATACAAGCAGATGCCTAAGACAAACAGCAAGGCTGGGTGCTGGTGACTCACGTCTGTAATCATAGCTACTAAGGAAGGAGGTTGAGTTCTGAGGATCATGGTTCAAAGTCAGCCCAGGCAGGAAAGCCTGTAAGACTGTTACCTCTTAACTACCGATAAGCCAGAAGTAAAGCTGTGGCTCAAGTAAAGCCTTAAGCAAAAAAGCTCAGTTATAGAGCCCAGGCCCTACCTTCAAGTCCCAGGACTGCTGTACACATGCACACACACACATTTAAAAAGAAATAGCAAAAGTAGATGTCATTGTTGTAAAAACAGGAATTTAACTTGGTATTTTTTTTTACTAGAGATTTATTATTAAATTTATACACTAATTTAACCAAATCATAAAAATTTATATATAACTCCATGACATTTTTCTAGGAAAACATGGAATTATTTTTCCTGAATATATATAATGAAGAAATGGTGCTGTGGCTCACGCGGTGAGTGCTTGCCTTGAGCTGAAGAGCACAGGGACAGCACCCAAGCCCAGAGTTCAAGCCCCACGACCACCACCAAATATATATATATGAAGTGGTGCTGTGGCTCCAATTGTAGAGCACTAGCCTTGAGCTGAAGAACTCAGGGACAGTGTCCAGGTCAGAGTTCAAACCTCACGACCAGCAAAAAAAAAGAAAAAAAAAAAAGAGTAGATGAATATATATGAGTATATACAGGTTGACCAAAGAGTATATATGTTTCATATTTACACTATTATAAGCTCAAAGTCCCTGAATTTTTTTTTTTTTTGGTCGGTCGTGGGGCTTAAACTCTGGGCCTGGGCGTTGTCCCTCAGCTCTTCAGCTCAAGGCGAGCGCTCTACCACTTGAGCTACAGAGCCACTTCCGGTTTTCTGGTGGTTTATTGGAGATAGGAGTCTCAAGGTCTCTCCTGCCCGGGCTGGCTTTGAACCACGATCCTCAGATCTCAGCCTCCTGAGTAGCTAGGATTACAGGCGTGAGCCACCAGCGCCTGGCTTCAAAGTCCCTGAATTTTTGAGAAGGTTAAGTTCAAATATTATACAAAGAAGCTGAGATGGATTCCAAGTGATTATCTGAACCACTTGCTATTTATTTCCTCTCATATCCAAGGTTCTTCCCAATCGATACCTTCTCTTAGGTGGTGGCTCCTCATCCTCAGATTCTTCTTCTGATGACTCATCTTCATCTTCATCTTCATCCTCATCTTTAGAGTCATCTGGTTCTTTCTTTGGAAATAGAACTCCTGGGCTAAGAAAGAAAAGGGAGAAGACAACACACAGAAAAAAGAGACAGGTAAAATACAAGTCCCACAGAGGACAAAAAGATAACGTGAACCTACATGTTCTTCACCAGACATTGTCCACTTCTGTCTACATTCCCTCAAAAATTGTGTTAGGTTATAAACAACATGGTTCATGTTTGAACACATATAGAAAGTCATCAGTCCTGCTATGTCTTGAACTAAATGAGCCAATGGATCCCCAGTAGTGACAGTCTGCATGGCAGCACACACTTTCTGCCTTCACAATAAGGGCAAAAGTCCACAAAGTCTTTTTTTTTTTTGTCAGTCGTGGGGCCTCAACTCTGGGCCTGGGCCTGTCCCTCAGCTCTTCAGCTCAAAGCTAGCATCTTACCACTTGAGCCACAGTGCCACTTTCAACTTTTTTCTGCTTATGTGGTGCAGAGGACTCGAACCCAAGGCCTCATGCATGCAAGGCAAGCGCTCTACCACTGAGCCAACTTCCCAGCCCCCACAGTCTTAAAGGCTTCAAAAACTCAAGTCTCTTCAAACTCTTATAGAAATTCACTATTCCTTACTCTTAATAGAAAATCTTGACTTTCTTTAATATGCCCTTAAGTTGTAGCATTTTATGTGACCTTCAGTATTAAATTTACTGTTTAATATTTGAAAATTTTAAATAGTATGCATTCAATCACATAACATTTATGTTTGTGCCCAAAGAATAAAGTAAGAAAGTTACACAGTGATGTTGTTAAAAATAGGGTCTTAGTGGTATATGCCTTCAGGTCTAATTAGATACTAGTGCATAGGAAGGTCACAGAACCAGTGCTCAGAACGATGCATGACATGGGCTCAATATATATTTTTTTGTTTCAATAATTAAATAAGGTATATATGAGGTAAGTTTTCAAATAAATGTTGTCTATACATATGTAGAAGGCTTAGGATTCTTGGCACCTGACAATTTAAATAAAGTTAATTTCCAGATAGTCTTCCTGTTATCATTTAAAAAGATAAACAATGAACAAACATTAAAATGACCATTTAAGGCTCTTAAACAATCTTTTGCCTGAATAGTTATTACTGTTGACCAAATAATAAGCACTAGCAGGCAGGACAGCTAAAGGTTCTTCTGTAAGAAGTACTAAGTGTAAGAAAATTTAAAAACCAGTCTGTAACCTAGATTCAAGTTTAAAAATTATAATGGCCAAGTGTTTCCATTAAGTAAAAGCTCACCTGGGGTAATAGGGAAAGCACAGCTGGAAGGTGCCACTGAATCCTTTACCAGAGATCTGCTCCATCCACCCATTCTTCTCACATTTCTGCAGAGTTTTCTTCAGCAAATGCACTGAATAAAAGAATTCAAGGAGTTAGGTATTTAGGCAGATTAGTTTCTTCTCAACCACAATCAGATGTCTACCAATTAATGTCCTTCTCTGTGATCACAAATATCAGTTCAGCAAACATTAGTGCTTATAATTTGGAAGGTTATAGTGAAAAGAGTTCAGTTGAGTCCAATTCCCCATTTCACAGAAAAGTTAACAGAAGCATAGAATAGTTAAATGACTTGTTCTAAGGCAGCACATAAAATTATTAATAGCAGGAAAATGTCATTATTTCCACTCACTCAAGCACCTATATGTACCTATAGGAATTGATAATCACCTAGGACACATACCTCTAAAGATAATACAACAAATTCTTCATAGCAAAGAATAATAAAATAATACCATAGCTCATAAAGTCCTAATTACTCATCTTTCATAATAGACATATAAAAAAATGAGCCAGTGGCTCATACCTGTAAGTCCTATTCAGAAGACTGAAATCTGAGGATCAGAGTTCAAACTCAAACCAAATAGTAAAGTCTGTGAGACACTATCTCTAATTAACTACCAAATAAAGCTGGAAGTAGAGCTGTGGCTCCAACGGTAGAACTTTAGCTTTGAGCACCTAATCCCTGAGATCCAACACCAGGACCAGCACAAAAAACCAAAACCAAAACCCAAAAACCCAAAAACCACTATGATTCAGGCATGGTGGTGCACACCTGTAATCCCAGCACTTGGGAGGCTGTGGTTGGAGGAACTTGAGTTCAAGGCCAGCATAAACTACACAGGGAGATACTGCCACAAAAGTAAACAAATAAAAAGGCAATATTAAAACTTCAAAATTACGTTTACTTTTTTGAGATGAGATCTTGCTGTATTAACTAAGCTAGCCTCAAAACTCCTCCGGCCTGTAATCCTAGCTACTCGGGAGGCTGAGATCTGAGGATCGCTTTGAAAAGCCAGCCCAGGCAGGAAAGGCTGTGAAACTCTTATCTCCAATTAACCACCAGAAAACCAGAAATGGAGTTGTGGCTCAAAGTGGTAGACCACTAACTAGCCTTGTGCAAAAGAGCTTAGGGACAGCATCCAGGACCCTACAGCTGGCAAGGGGGGGTGGAGAGGGGAGGAGAAACTCCAGGGTTCAAGTGCTTCTCTGTAGTAGCTGAGAGACTACAGGCATGCACCACCATTCCTGGACCATGTTACTTAAATATTCTGGTTGGTACTTTCAGTTATTTAATTGTCATATTTTTCAACCTAAATCCTTTGTGCCTATTCTAATATTTTGCTGAACAGTTGCCCAGTTCTGCCAGTCACAACAGCAGTGTTTAATTACAGTCTGATCTCTAATTTCAAAGTGAATATATTGTACTATAAACAAAATACTAGCTGGGTACCAGTGGCTACCATCTGTAATCCTAGCTACTCAGGAGGCTGAGATCTGAGGATCTCATTCTGAAGTCAGCCTGGGCAGAAAAGTCCTCATGAGACTCTTATCTCCAATTAACCACTCAAAAACTTGGGAGCTATGGCTCAAAGTTGTAGCGATCCAGCCTTAAGCAAGAGAGTTCAGGGACAGCACCCAGGCCCTGAGTTTAAGCCCCACTATTGCCAAAACAAAACCCACTAGGCCTGGCGCTGATGGCTCAGGCCTGCAATCCTAAATACTAAGGAAGGCTGAGATCTGAGGATCGCAGTTCAAAGCCAGCTTGGGCTGGAAGTGGCACTGCAGCTCAAAGCAGAATACTAGCCTTAAGCAAAAGAGCTCAGGCACAGTGCCCAGGCCCTGAGTTCAAGCCCCATGGCTGATAAAAGAAATAAAAACAGGGCTGAGAACGTGGCTTAGTGGTAGAGCGCTTGCCTAATATGCATGAAGCCCTGAGTCAGAGCCTCAGCACCACATAAATGGAAAAAGCTGGAAATGACACTATGGCTTAAATGGCAGGGTGCCAGCTTGAGCAAAAAGAAGCTCAGGGACAGTGCTCAGGCCCTGGATGCAAGCCTCAGGACTGGCAAAAAACAAAAACAAAAATACTTCCTATTAAAGGTAAAAGTAAACTAATTAAAAGGTCATTTAAGAGTTTTATCCAAATTACTACAAAATATCAGAAAAAAAATTTACAGTAAAGTAAAATTAATTCTGATCAGAAGCCGCTGTAAATTAATGATAACACCTGGTTAGGTGTGGTAGTGCACAACTGCAATCCCAGCACTATGGAGGCTGAGGGAGGATTGGGTTGAAGGCCAGTGTGATCTTCACAGTTAAGACCCCATTCTCAAAAAAGAAAAAAAAAGTTTATTAAATAAAATACAATAGAGTAAGTCTTATTTCCATTTAATTTTTTTTTTCTTTTGTCAGGTGTGGAGCTTGAACACGGGGTCTGGGTGCTATCCCTGAGCTCTTTTGCTCAAGGTTAGGGCTCTACCACTTTGAACCACAGCTTCACTTCTGTTTTTTGAGTGGTTAGAGTTAATAGTCTCATGGGGACTTTCCTGCCCACGTTGGCTTTGAATCGCAATCCTTAGAGCTTCAGCATCCTTAGTAGCTAGGCTGGCTCTGTGTTTAATTTTTAAGTGATAAATTTGTAATTTCATCTTAGTTTTTCATAGCCAATACTTAATATGTTGATATTAGTAGCATGATTTCCAGAGTTTTTTGGTGGTTAATTGGAAATAGCCTCATGGACTTTCCTGCGTAAGCTATTTCAGCCCCAAGTAGCTCGGATTATAGGTGTGAGCCACTAGTGCCTAGCTTCCAGGTTTTTTGTTCCTCCAGAAAAAAATCCCATTTTCAGTTAAGTGTATACAACTCTGCTCTTACTTTGATAGTTAGAATTGGTCCCTGGGTGGTTCTCCAAGATGTACTTCTTCAGAGCAGTGGTAGAGCAGGTCTTCGGCTCATTCATGGCAGCAATGGCAGACAAGATTGCATATTCCATCAGGCTTCCACCAAGCAGGGGTTTCTCCCCTGATTTCTTCAGCTGTTTTCCAAGGAGGAAGAGAAAAGCATCAAGACAACACTCTCCCAAAGCAGGTCAAGACAAGACTCCTCTGCACCAGGTGGGTTGGAGTTCCTGCATTAGCACAGATATGTTTTACAATAAATTGTCAGGTTAGGGACTTTCTCTTCCCATTCACCAGGTATCAATCTAACTGAGAAGTCCCAACCCTCTTATGGATATTTTCTTCTACCCTCTATTTACCAAAAGATACTGACAGTTCTACCCTAATAAACAAGTTAACTTGCTATGTTCCTAAAAAAACTGAGACTTTTGAAAATACTTTTTATGAATCTGAAAAACAAAGCAATAAAAAAGCATTTTTAATCCTAAAAGGAAAATAACCATATTCTTCTACCTTGTATCCGGTGCCCTATACCAAGAAAAATTTTGTAAGTACTTATGATATCATATAATAGAATATTAAATAGCAAACTGAGTTTTGGTAGCTCACACCTGTCATCCTACCTACTCAGAAGGCTGAGACCTAAAGGACTGAAGTTCAAAGCCAGTCAGGGCAAAAGCCAAGATAGAGCACTAGGCCCTGAGTTCAAGCCCCAATTTAAGTCCTTCTTTCCCCCATCACAAAGAATGTTATGTAACATATTTCAAGGCTGAGAAGGCTGGGAAACAAAGCAGGCAGAAATAAGTAGACTAGCTCTTAAAGAGAGGTCCACAAATTCCTAGAAGTTCTGATACCCTTTTAGAGGATCTTAAAGGTCAACACTATCTTTGTAACAAAACAAACATGTGATCTGTTATTTTTTGTGTTGATATTTGTCCTGATGGCAAGTGGTTATGGTCTTCACTGACAGATACTTACATTTTTGTTTGTTTTTGTTGTTGTTAATGCCAGTTTCACTTAGGAATAACCTCAAGCATAAATAATTATTTAAGTCTCAAGCCCTAACAAGCCTTTTTAAACATTTTATGCAATGAAAAGAAAAGATGTATAAAGCACATATGCATGTATAATGGTGAGCTGAACTAATGGTGTTTTTATAGATCTTTTTGACTTGAAGGAACTACTAATAAACTATTCAGATGCTAAGAAGTGAGTCTTGTCACTTCAAGAAAAACAACAGTATTTGTTTCCAAGGGCAAAATTCAACCTACCTTCTTCCCTCCCCTCCTCTCTGTCTGTTTCTCTTTTTGAGATAGGATTTCACTGTGTAGCTCAGGCCGCCCTTGAACTCAAGATCCTCCTGCCTCAGCCTCTCAAGTGCTGGGATTATAGAGGCCTGTGCAAAATTCAACCTTTCAAGAGAAAATTTAAGTTGTAGAAAACTTGTATCTATCATCTTTTTAATATTTACCCAGCACTTAAGCAGTGTTCTTATGAGACCAATGGCTGGCACCAATGACTATGATTTTTGTTACTAGATGATGAATTGTTGAACATTTGAAAATCCTATGTAGCCTAACTCAGTGAGCCACTATTTTTCAAATAACCAATGCATTGTGTTACTTATAATATGTGGTTCAAAGATCCACTCATAGTTCAAGACAGACCAATGGCTTTAAGGTAACAAGACTACAAGAAGAGTTCACTAATATGGTTTCCAGATTCCACATGGCAACTAACATTTAAGGAATTAACACAAAATCAAATTAACAGTTCACATTAATAGCATAAAGAGTACCAATCACACAAAGCATTTTAGAAACATAGAAAAAGCACTGGACATATATTCATGAAGAATCTAAAAGTGACAAAGAGAAAATTAAATAGCCAGGTGCCAGTGGCTCACACCTGTAATCTTAGCTATTTAGGATGATGAGGTCTAAGGTTCAAAGTCAGCCCAGGTAGAAAAAGTCCACTGAGACTTAAACATGAGAAAGTTAGAAGTGCAGCTGTAGCTCATGGACAGCACAGCACCGTGGCCCTGAGTTCAAGCTCCATGACTGGCACCAAAAAAAAAAAAAAAAAAAGAGTCAGAAATAATTAAATATACTTGCTGTCTTTAATTTTATGAGTAAGCTACTTGTATTCCAGTAGAAGAACATTCTAGCTCAGGAAAATACGGAAAAACAAACTCTGAAACTGGAAAATGATCTTGAACTGCAACGCAGAACTGAAAGAACTGGAAAACTGCAGAGGGAAATGATTGGTCTCAGAAGAGAGACACATAGTTGCGGAAATAAAAGCAGAAATCAGCATCAGCCACCAAAAAATGAGAACAAGGCACAAAAATGACAAAAAATGACAAAATATCATTTCAGTAGAAAAGTATTAACACAATCCTGCCATGAAGAGTGTGAATATAATAAGGAAATGCTTACATGAAATGAAAATAAAAATAAAAAGTTAGTTATGGACATTCCAAATGACATGAAGCGAGCTGAAGGAAAAAGAAGTTCCTTGAAGACTGATAAATTAGAAGCCAGAAATAAAGAGGGAATGCATAAAAGTCTCTCAAATGATTATGAATGTTGCCAGAAACAAATTCTAATGGAAAATACTGAACTTAAGATGCTTCTTCATCAAATGAAAAGGAAATGATTTGTTTCCCAAAGAAGAAACCTAGAGAAAGAGGAGAGAACCTTATAGGAATGTTAAGTCTGACACTGAAGATGCCAGGTAACTCAGCAGAGAGAGAACAGCTAAAAAGAACACCAGTAGAGTTGGGGAAGCTGCGTATATTGGCTCACACCTATAATCCCAGCTACTCATCTAAGAGAATCATCATTTAGAATCAGCTTGGGGCAGACAAACTCATCAATCAATCAGTAAAAAGCCAAAGTAGAGGCATGGGTTAATTGGTAGGGCGCTAGCCCTGAGTGAAAAAGGTAAGCAAAAGCTTGAGATCCTGAGTTCAAGCTCCAGTACTGGCACACACACGCACGCACACATGCATGTGCACACACACATATGCACACAAGTAAGGATTTTGAAAAGTTATGCAGAAGAACTTGATAACAAAATTTCAAAAGTACACAGGCTTTAATGATGAAGATGTAATATAATAATACTATAAACAAGAAACTGAGGCAGTAAGTTAGAAACAAAACAAAATGATTAAAACACAGCAGCAATCTTTACAGCCAACAACCGGCTCTGCATGTGATACCATTCTACTATGAGGAGACTATTTGTTGAGAGAAAAGGAATGTTTCAAAGGAAAATGGTCCCCCTTTTAAAGAGCAAAAGAATTTTTCTATTCACTTAAGATTGGAGAAAGGCATTTGAGTAAGAAAAAAAGTTAGTGAAAGCAACATACATGACTAACTTTGACCACCAGAACTCTGAAAATGTTAAACTTTTCAGTGGTTTCTTAGCAAAGTGTAAGATACAATCTTTTTTTGTTGTTGTTGTTGGTCATGGGCTTGAACTCTGGGCCTGGGTGCTGTCCCTCAGCGCTACAGCTCAAGGTGAATGCTCTACCCCTTGAGCCACAGCACCACTTCTGGTTTTCTGGTGGTTAATTAGAGATAAGAGTCTCATGGACTTTCCTGCCCAGGCTTGGCTTTGAACTGCAATCCTCAGATCTCAGCCTCCTGAGTAGCTAGGATTACAGGTGTGAGCCACTAGCGCCCAGCTTGGACAATCTTATACTGCAGGCAAAGCCACGGGTTGGTCTAATGGGTCTTTTGCCTTGCATATTTTAAGCTGATTCAACACTGTGGCCTGACACTACTTTCCTGTGGATATTCCTATTCAATCAATGTAACTGACTATAACTTCTGAAGAAATAAGTCAGACTGGAAGAGAATGTACAAATTAGATATAAAGCATGGTGTCAAGAACTGCATCATAGGAGGGTTGTTGCTACAGTGGCAATGGTGACCTAAGTTTCTATGGTGACCTACCTTAGCTATATGGCCTAGAATTCTATTCATTAATATATGCATAAAATTTTACACCCAATTTAAAACAATGTGCTAAAAAGTCAGTTATCCTTAGTAATTTAAAGTTGTCTAAGTCATTTGTTTGGACTTCCCTGCTTTCTCTGAAGAGCTGAAATGTTTTTGTTTTTGGTGCCCGGCACCTGGGCTCTGTCTCTAAGTTTCTTTGGCTGAAGGCTAATAGTGTTCCACCATTTGAGTCACAACATCACTTGCAGCTTTTTCAGTAGTTTGTTAGAGATGAGAGTTCTCACATACTTCCTGCTTGGCTGGCTTTGAATCGTGTTCCTCAGAGCCTCAGATCACCAGTGTCCAGCTTGCTACCTGTATTTAAAAAGCTATAAAATGCTTTCTATTTACCCAGTTGGCTTTGGTTTATGTCTGTAATTCTAGCTACTCAGGAGGACAAGATCCAGAGAATCAAGGTTTGAAACCAGACAGAGCAGAAGAATCTGTAAGACCCCACCTCCAAAATAACCAAACCAAAAAGCTGTACTGGAGGCACTGCTCAACTGGCAGGGTCAGCTGGGTGCAAGTGCTAGGCCCAGTATGTGCAGAAATCAAAATAAAATGAATGAATAAGTAAACAAAGCCTGAACATGTGTTTTTTAGTAATAGAGGCATATGGTTCTGTGGATAATAACATGTGCAGGATGTTAGGATGGAGACAAACACAGTTAACAGTTTCATCTTACAGGTATAAAAATTATTATTATAAATGTTCAGGGTTGTTTTTGTTTTTGGTGGTACTAGGGATCAGGTCTCCAGCCCTTTTTGCTTCAGCCATTTTTCAGATGGTATAACATGTTTTTGCCCTAGGTTAGTCTTAGACTGTGACCTTCCAACACAGTTGGAATCATAGGTGTGTAATACCGTGGCTTACTTTTGTTGAGATAAGGGATTCTCAGGCAGAACTGGAATAGAATCACAGTCCTCCTTTATGCTCTCTACCTTCATAGTAAATGAATCTACAGGCATGTACGACCATGCCTCATCTCTTAAATGTTTTTTGTTTAATATATAGCTGGCATCCAAAATTTAGCCTTTACTTGAATGTAATGGCTGTAAATTTTTAACCAAGTTCTATACTTACTATATTTAGTTGAGTTTAAAATTATTCTTTCATATATTTAAAAAAATAAACTGACAGTTATATAAAATATACTTTCTATTCATTCTAGGACTTAATTTAACAAAAGAAACTGAAGACCTACAATGAAGAGACATTTGGTGTTCATAGACTGGAAAACAAAAAAGAATGAATAATAATTCTCAGTTGGGTGCTAGATGCTCACTCATCCTAGCTACTCAGGAGGCTGAGATCTGAGGATCATGGTTTGGAGCCAACCCCAGGCAGGAAAGTTTTTGTTGATCATAGGAATTGAACTCAGGGCCTGGGTAATAATGTCCCTGAGCTTTTGTGCTCAAAGCTAGCACTCTAGCACTTTGAGCCACAACTTCACTTTGGGTTTTCTGGTGGTTATAACGTTGGAGATAAGAGACTCAAGGACTTTCCTGCCTGGACTGGCTCATCCTCCTGAGTATTTAGGGTTACAGGCATGAGCCACCAGTGCCCGGCTCCATAAGACTTTTTTTTTTTTGCCAGTCCTTTGGCTTAAACTCAGGGCCTGGGCACTGTCCTTGAGCTTCTTTAGCATAAGGCTAGTACTCTACCACTTGAGCCACAGCGCCACTCAGAAGCTCTGAACCAGAGCTTCAGGCATGCTAGGCAAGCACTCTACCACTAAGCCACATTCCCAGCCCCTCCATAAGACTCTTATCTTAGAAATATTCTACCCTTTCCCTTTTTCTTAAAAAATTTTTTTTATTATCTTTAATTGTACAAAGGAGCTACCATTTAACAAAGTAGCTTATAAATATAATGTATCTTGATCAGTGTGACCCCTTCCAGAGAGAATGGATTTTCTTCATAAACTCAAAATATACTGAACAGATACTAGTGTCCATTAAAGCTAGGCATTAAAGATATTTGCAAAAAAATGTAAAAAGTGTTTCTCTTAACAAATTTATTTTGGAGTAAATTCAATTTTTCATGAATTGTTTATCTTAATATATAATGGATCTGCTATTGTTATTTCTAAATGAATAAATGTTTAAATTTTTCTCATCTTATTTATTTATTGTGCTGGTCCTGGAGCTTGAATTTAGGACCTGGGTGCTGTCCCTGAGTTTTTTTGCCCAAGGCTAGTGCTCTACCACAGCTCCACTTCTGATTTTTAAGTTTTATTTAGTTTCCTATCTGGGCTGACTTCAAAACACAGATCCTCTCATCACAGTCTCCTGAGTAGCTAGGATTATAGGCATGAGCCACTGGAACCTGCTTTATTTTCTCTTTGAGGCAGGGTCTTGATATGAAGCCTAGACTGGCCTTGAATTTAAGATCCCTAGCCTTCAGCCTCCAGGGTACTGGAATTACAGTTGTGTGCCACCATGCCTGGTTCTTAAGTTTTAATTGCTAAAACAGTCAATACTGATAGGTACGACCCACAGAAACAAAGTCTCAGAGGTCCTTGTTCAAATTTTAGAGTCTGAGGAAGTCCTTAAAAGCCCCAATACTGAGAGGCATGCCTCTACAACAAGCCTTTGGCTTCTAACCTGGAATGTCCCCGAAGCACCTTTGCCAGTTATTTGTTCTAACTGGCCTCTCTCTACTGCTCTCTGCAGAGCATTCTTCAACAGCTGGGGCCTGCAGAGAAAAACAAAAAAATAGTGATAAATACATCAATGAAAAACTTGAAGAAAAAGATTCAAGGTTATTCCAGATCTAATCTTGATTCTTTTATGTAGAACTTTGCTACCATGGGCAAAAATCCAATACCAAATTGCTGACGTCTTTGAAAAGTGTTTTTTTTTTTTTTTTTTTTAGTGAAACTGTTATTACTTGTACATATAGAATTCAAACAGTTTATTATCATTAAACCACAGTGACAGAGATATTTTGGTTGGTCCTACCAACCAAGTCTACTAAATGGGCCATATTACAACACTGACTTATAAAAAGTCTTTTTAGGATAACTTTGGCCAGGCGCCAGTGGCTCATGCCTGTAATCCTATCTACTCAGGAGGCTGAGATCTGAGGATCACAGTTCAAAGCCAGCCCAAGTAGAAAAGTCCATGAGACTATTATCTCCAATAAACTATTCAGAAAAAGCTGGAAGTGGTGCTATGGCTCAAGTCATAGAGTGTTATCCTTGAAAAAAGTCAGAGTCAAGAGCCCAGGCCCCAGCATTCAAGCCCATGACCAGCAAAAAGCAAAGATAAAATCAACTTTTTAGTAAAGGAACTTGGATTATGGGGAAAGAACTATTAAAACAAAAGAAAGAGCAAATGTGAAGACTGAGGCCACTGAGGAAGAGTAGTAGGTAAGATCACAGAGGAAATGGACATGTAGTGCCTTGTGGGATTTTTTATTGATTTAATTGTGAGGAAAACTTGGGAAGTCACTGAAGGGTTTGAGTAGAAAAAGTATATGACCTAATTAACCTTTTTTAAAGTCATTCTCAGTGTGATCTTATGAATATTCTGGCTGGCTACAGATGGCTCATACCTGTAATCCTACTCAGGGGGCTAAGATGTGAGGATCGTGGTTCAAAAGCCAGCCCAGGCAGGAAAATCTGTGAAACTCTCATCTCCAATAAACTACTCAGAAAAAGCTGGAAGTGGTACTGTGGCTCAAGTGGTAGAGCACTAGCTTCGAGTACAAAGAGGCTTAGGGATAGTGCCTAGGCTCAGAGTTCAAGCCATAGGGCCAGAAAAAAAAAATTCAAGTAAATACTGGAACTATTAGTACAACATATATTCAATAAAAATCTTCTGGAGAATGAACTATGAATTAAACACAAGTTTCCAAAGGCAACCACATAAAAGATCGTACATAAATATATTCAAAACTCACTGTCAATTGCAAATTTAATCAAATTAATGCTATGAAATCCACAACTGAACAATTGTGAAAATTTAGATGACCAACCCAAATGTTTAGCAAAAAATTATCACAATTATCTAAGAAGGATGCTTAAATGATGAAGACTTTATGTATGGGTTGGAGGCGGGGCTCAATTGATAGAACACTAGCCAATGAATCAAAGTTTCAGGTACCAAGTATAAACCCCAGTCTTGGACCAAAAAAAAAAAAAAAAAGACTTTAATGTTATTTATGTAGTTATTTTTAAAGCCTGAATTATCTTATGTTCCCAGTTGTAACTAAAATTTAAAAAAGAATGCTGGCTGATCACTCCTATAATCCTAGCTGCTCAAGAGGCTGATATATGAGGAATACAATTTGAAGTCAATCTAGGCAAGAAAATCCAAAGGACTCTTCTTATCCCTAAATAACTAGGGAAAAGGCTGGAATTGAGGCATAGTTCAGGCAGTATGGTGCCAGCCACCAAACAAGAGCACAAGGCCCTGAGTTCAAGCCCTGGTACTGGTACCAAAAACAAAACAAAACAAAAAAACAACAACCCATGAAGAGTATCTAAGAGGACATCATACCATGCTGATATAGAGTTATAAGGAGCCCTTGGCACTGGAATGTGGTCAACAAATTCATGCTATTCTATTTGAGCCATGCTTCTAACTGGTTAAATGGAGATAGTCTTAAGAGACTTTCCTGCTCACGTGGCTTTAAACCATGATCCACAGATCTCAGCCTCTTGATTAGCTAGGATTAACCATGAATCACTCATGTCCTGCAATTGCCACCCCCCACATCACAGGCTTGAAAATAGGTCCTTGTACTTGCCTGGCACTCTACCATTTGAGCCATGCCGCTAGCCTTCTATAAGGATCTTATAAAAGAACACTGGTTTGGATTTCAAAAAAAAAAAAAAATAAGGCATTTATGAAGTAAAAAATAAAACTTTTGAAAACGAGTTTTATGTTTAGTTTTGTTTAATGTTTAGTTACATTTTCTTTAGTTACATATTCAGGAAGAATATATATTCTTCATATTCAGGAAGATATATATATAGATATATATACGAAGAGCCTATATATATGAAGAGCCTATATATATATATATGAAGAGCCTAAAGGAAATATATTTTAGCTGGGCACTGATGCCTCACGCCTGTAATCCTAGCTACTCAGGAGGCTGAGATATGAGGATCACGGTTTAAAGCCAGCCTGGGCAGGAAACTCTATGAAACTTTATCTCCGAGAAACTACTCAAAAAAGCCGGGAGTCACGTTATGGCTCAAGTGGCAGAGCACTAACCTTGAGCAAAAGAAGCTCAGGGACAGTGCCCAAGTCCTGAGTTCAAGCCCTAGGACTGGCAAAACAACAACAACAACAACAACAACAACAACAACAACGCATCATATTTTAATGGTTAATACCTGATGTCCACTCTAAGCTTAGGATAATACTGAGAAACGTATTTCCTGATGAGACTGTAGGAAGCTTCTTTAGGTTCACAAAGGCGAGTAAAGGCCAAGGGGAGCACATCCTCCAATTTTACTTGTGGCTCTGGATATACTGTAGAACTCTTCTGTAATATTGAAAATCATGTCATTATGTAATGTGGGGCTTTCAGTTCATTATGTTTCCAACTTAAAGGCTTTCCTCCATTGGCTGACAAATTAGCTGACAAATAGAAAACTATCATTTTTCCTACTTCAAACCACAATGGTGTAAACTGTGGGTGGATGGTCTGTACATATGTACTCTCCTCCACTTTAAGCAATCACTTCAGGGCTTTATTCTGCAACATTGCAGGACAACATCTTTGGCAATTTCTTTCTTTTTTTTTTTTTCTGGGTCGGTCGTGGGGCTTGAACTCTGGGCCTGGGCGCTGTCCCTCAGCTCTTCAGCTCAAGGCGAGCGCTCTACCACTTGAGCTACAGCGCCACTTCCGGTTTTCTGGTGGTTTATTGGAGATAGGAGTCTCACGGTCTCTCCTGCCCGGGCTGGCTTTGAACCGCGATCCTCAGATCTCAGCCTCCTGAGTAGCTAGGATTACAGGCGTGAGCCACCAGCGCCCGGCTCTTTGGCAATTTCTTACAGATAAAAATTTCAGATGGAGGCTGGGAAGGTGGCTCAGTGGTAGAGTGCTTGTCTTGCATGCATGAGGCCCTGGATTTGATTCCTCAGCACCACATAAGCAGAAAAAGCCAGATGTGGTGCTGTGGCTCAAGTGGTAGAGCACTAGCCTTGAGCTGAGGGACAGTGTCCAGGCCCAGAGTTCAGGGCCCAGGACTGGCAAAAAAAAAAAAAAAAAAGATCAAAAGAGTAAAGAATATACATAGAAATAAAAAGGAAGAATAAAGACCTTAACTTATTCTTAGGGTTCAATATGAAGTTACTAGAATATACTACTTAAACGTTCAGTTTATATTAGAAAGTTCTATTTAAAAAGTATAAAAATCAGCCAGGGGGCCTGGGAAGGTGGCTCAGTGGTAGAGTGCTTGCCTTGTGTGCATGAGGCCCTGGGTTCGATTCCTCAGCACCACATAAGCAAAAAGAAAAAAGCCAGAAGTGGCGCTGTGGCTCAAGTGGTAGAGTGCTAGCTTTGAGCTGAAGAGCTGAGGGACAGCGCCCAGGCAGACTTTAGGCCCCCTGACCGGACCCAAAAAAAAAAAAAAGAACTGACTGTCTAAAAAAATCAGCCAGGCACCAATGGCTCACGCCTGTAATCCTAGCTACTCAGGAGGCTGAGATCTGAGGATTGCAGTTTAAAGCCAGACCAGGCAGGAATGTCTGTGAGATTCAATCTTTAATTAACCACCAGAAAACCGGAAGTGATGTTGTGGTTCAAGTGCTAGAGCACTAGCCTTGAGCTGAAGAGCTCAGGGACAGCTTTCAGGCCCAGAGTTCAAGACCCATGACCGACAAAAATAAAAAAAAGAAAGAAATAAAGAAAATGTTCAGTTTTTGGTAAAAACAAAGTTACAGAAGAATTACCATTATTTTAATTATTGACAAATAAAATACTAAGTACTCCACTTTATTGTTTGTTCTTCAAGCTGAGTGCCAGGGGCTCATGCCTGTAATCCTAGCTACTCAGGAGGCAAAGATCTGAGGATTGAGGTTCAAAGCCAGGCCAGGCACGAAAGTCCGTGAGACTCTTATCTCCAATAAACCCCAGAAAACCAGAAGTGACTCTGTGGCTCAAGTGTTAGCCTCAAGGTGAAGAGCTGAGGGACAGTGCCCAGGCCCAGAGTTCAAGCCCCACAACCACACATACACACATACAAAAAGAACTGTTCTTCATATATCTCCTCAATTTTAAAAGATATTTCATGAAAAAGTATAATTTATATAGCTGCTTATAAATTCAACACCAGGCACTTAACTGGATTAACTGGGTTAGAATACTGGGCTTGCACACTAGCTATTCTCTTCAGTAGCTCTGTAGACTTGAAAGAAAGGTTACACTTTGCATTGTGCTAGGCACTCAGAAGCCACCCAATAAATGTTGCTGTTTTCAAAAGTAGTAATAGTATTTTAGTGCTCAAATTTTAGTAGAGACTTCTTACCTTTCTGTTTCTAGACTTCTGAGGTGTTTTTCTTGATTTCTGGACCACAACAAAACTTCCAGATGCACCTTTTCCTTTTACCTAAAGTGAATTAAGTTTTATTTAAATTATTCCAGTATTCATACTTATAGTTTTCTGCTAAGACTAAGGGAATTACACAATATCACACAAGAGCTGTTTAAGTGTTCAGAGAAAAAAAGAATAGGAACCAAAGATAGGGTGTTGATCCTAGCCATGCTACCATCTAATTACTCAATACTAAACAATTCGGTTAACCCTTTTGAGTTTTCATTTCTACACATTCAGAATTGGGGATGAATGCCACCGTGATACTAGGTTGAGTCTAAAAGAAAACAAAAACCTACAAAAAAATAAAATCACAAAAAATGTCCTGCAGAAGTGATGGGACAAAAGTCACATGAAGAGACAACTCCTTGGCAAGTTTAGACCCTATGTGGTCTCAGGCCATCACTTAGTTTTCTAATTATAGTTTATTTCTTATGCTAAAGTTATATAATAATTTTTTAGACACCACACATAATGGCATGTCGTACCATGTATTTCCACATATGAAAACACTTTCTTTTTTTTTTTGTGAAAATACCATACAGAGAGGTTACAATTACATGGGCAAGGTGAAAACACTTTCTTAGAACTTTAAAAGTTGATTCATAAACACCAGTTTTACTTGGATAAATGTTACCAATTAATAATCAATATGAAATACTTTTAGCACATTAATTGTTTAAGCATGGAAACAAAGGCAAGTCTATGGAGGCAAAGCAGAAATGTAGCCTAGAGGCTGTGCTGATATGCACTTAGGACATGGGAGGGGTATGTCATCTTTGGTTTTCATATTGGCTAGGTAAGACCTATTAATGAATGATAATTTTAAAGATTATTTAAGTCATGGGGCTTGAACTATGGGGCCTAAGCAATTTCCCCTGAGTTCTTCAACCCAAGGCAAATGCTCTACCACTTGAGCCATAGCACCACTTCCAGTTTTCAGGTGGTTAAATGGAGATAAGAGTCTCATGGACTTTCCTGCCCAGGCTGGCTTTGAACCACAATTCTCAGATCTCAGCCTCCTGAGTAGCTTACAACAGGGGTGAGCCACCGGCGTCTGGCAAGTCTATTTAAATATCATCTTTACATTCTGAAAATCCTTAACCAAAAGACAGAAGGGGATATGGTTTATTCACTGCTGAATCTCTCATAGTACCTGATATAAGAGAGGCTCAATATTTACTTTTGAAATTAAGTATTTACTGAAAGTTCCTTAACAGAAAATTTTTCTTATTTTTGGTGATACTGGGATGTTGAACTCAGGGCCTTGTCCTCGGCTAGGCACTCTACCACTTGAGCCATACATTCCATATAAGCAGTTTAAATGCCTGAGTGGCATAAAATTCTACACTAATTAGGGCCAGAGTCCTGGCTACAGTGGTAGCTGGCTGCAGAAAGGGTAGACCAAGATTTTTACCACTGTGCTATACCCCTGCCCTAGAATTCTCTGATTCTGACTGAACTACGAACTGTATAAGGTAACACAGATTATGCCAAGCTCAATATTGGTTCTAGGGTGTCAATGCATTCAGGTTTCTTTGATGCTTCTTATCAGGATGAAACTATTTACAAGGCTGAGAAATAACAAGTCTAGTTGTGTAAGTTAAGTTTTAATATTTATAAACCTAAGACAAAAGCAATTTTCTTTCTGGCTATTACAGTAATAGGATTGTCTTAACACTACTACTCATTTTCAATGCTACACAATTTCAAGCCTGAGTAGGCCCTGTAGCAAATCCAAGTAAGAGTACAATAAGCTGGAGTAAAAAAATCAACACTATCTTATTGCTTCAGCTCCTTAGAAGATACATGAATTATAAATACAACTGACACCAGTATTTTTGAAATCTGGCTATTATCTGGAATACTGTGCTACCATGTACCTTTGTTGGTAACAACAACAAAATACATACAGAGCCTAATATTACTAAAAATGGACCAAGCATAGGTGCTATATGAAATAACCTTATTTCTAACAGCTGTGTGGTACCTGTTTGATGACTCCTCTATTTAATTCTCTTTTTAGTGCTTGCTTAAGGAGATAGCCTCTTCTCTCTAGTTCCAGAGAAGGATATTTATGGATGATATATTTTCGAATAGCAACCACTGATGCACCACTCTTCTGGAAGCATGCCTAGAAAACAGATTTATCAAGCCATATATATTACTTATTTTCTATTAGAGAACTTGACACATACTCTGTTATTTTGGAGCGAACAGATTAACATGATTAAGGAAGAATGAACAGTATTTCAGTCCATCTAAGTTCACATTGGCTTTGAAGAAGTATATAATTATGAACTATTTCTATAATGAGTGTTGTGTTGTGTGTGTGTGTGTGTTGGTAACTGGGCCTGAACCTGGGGCTTTATGCTATCCCTTGGCTTTATTGCTCATGGCTGACACTCTATCACTTAAGCCATGCCTCTAGTTTTGCTTGTCTGGTTAGTTGGAGATAAGAGTCTCCTAGTGCTGGGTGCTGGTGGCTGGCTCACACCTATAAATCTAGCTACTCAGAAGGCTGAGATCTGAGGATTATGATTCAAAATCAGTTCTGGCAGGAAAGTCGATGAGACACTTATGTCCAGTTAACTATCTGAAAACTCGAAGTGGAGCTGTAGCTCAAAGTGGTAGAGTGCTAGCTTTGAGCAAAAAAGCTCAAGGACAACACCCAGACCCTGAGTTCAAGCCCCATGATCAAAAAAAAAAAAGAACTTTTCTGCCTGGGCTGGCTCAAAACCTTGCTCCTAAGATATCAGCCATCTGTAATCCTAGGATTAGAGGTATCAATCATAGCACCTAACTTAAAAGATAGATCTTTAGCATCAAAATGAGGGTAGCACAGAGCATTCTATCATTTACAAGATTATCTGTCTAGCCTATTTTATGAAGAGAGAATTTTGGCACACTGTAACAATTCTTCTGCAGGTTTCCCTTAAGTGTTAGCAGAAAACATAGTCTGAACAAAAAGAATAAAGCTGGGTTTACAGATGGCACAGTTGGTAAAACCTGGGGGGGGGGGGGGCAGTACTAGGCTTTAAACTCAGGACCTCACCCTTGCTAAGCAGGTGTTTTACCATGAGCCACACTGCAGCAGTTGGTATAATTTTTGTTGTTGTTAAGTTGTGGTACTTGAATTCAGCCTAGGTGCTAACCCTCAATCTTCAGCTCAAGGCAAGCACTCTACCACTGGAGTTACAGCGCCACTTCTGGTTTTCTGAGTGGTTTGTTGGAGATAAGAGTCTCATGGGCTTTTCTGCCCGGGCTGTCTTTGAACCATGATCCTCAGATCTCAGCCTCCTGAGTAGCAAGGATTACAGATGTGAGCCACTGATGCCCGGCTAATTTTTTTTTTTTTTAATTGGTTGTGGGGCTTGAACTCAGGGCCTGGGTGTTGTCCCTGAGCTAGTTTTTGCTCAAGGGTAGTGATACCACTTTGAGCCACAGTCCCACTTTTCTGATGGGTAATTGGATATAAGAGTCTCTTGGACTTTCCTTCCAGACTGGTTTTAAATAATGAGCCTCAGATCTCAGCCTTCTGATAAACTAGGATTACATGTGTGAGCCACCAGTACCCAGCTCAGTTGGTAAAATTTTAAGGGGAGGTTTTGAGTAAAAATTGAGGTGTTCTATTGGAATTTAATGCACTTTTTCCATTTCCATCTTATCTACTAATGTCCACAGAAGAATTAAGTATCTCATTATGTCTAAAAGCAGCAAATGTTTGTTCTTACATGCTTTAAAATTTGAAGCACAGAAAAGTAGCACCTGTTATTTCATGGTTATCCATTAATCCTGTTATGAATCATCTGCAAACTAAACTTAGCAGTTACCTGTTCTCATTTAATAAACTTAGTTGAATGCTATTTTATGCATATTTACAATAATGAAGAATGACTAATTTTAAGCCTTCAGAGTAGATGGACCAGAAAAGATAGTACTATATAAATCGTGTTAATATAGGTCACTAAATTCACTAATTATCTTTGAACTATTAATAATCTATTATTTATTCCTGATCCTGTAAGAAAACACAAAGCCAAGAAAATTAAGCAAAAAATAAGCTAAAATAATCAATCTTTTATTCCACCAAACTGACAGACATGGGAGTAGGTATGAGGACTCCTGTTTGACATATAAAATACTATCAGTGCTCTAAAATAATCATTTATAATACTTATGGAATATATACATAGGTACAATTATGTGTATACATACATAGATGCACAAAAATCTTATTCTGCATAGGCACATTTGTTTCACTATTTTAAAATTTTAGATCCTTCTTTATGTTCACCATAACCATGTTCCTTCAAACCAAGGCTGAGTGGACATGAAGTATAATCCTTGCAGAGAGGCTACACAAAGAACAGAGATCTTAAGATCTCAAGAAAGCTACTACAGGAAGAAAAGTTTTCTTAATTAAGTGAGAGCCTATGAGCCTTGAAGGAATGAAGAGGTCTGAAGGAAATCTCTGACAGTTCACATGAAAGTGCTCTCTTCTTGAATCTGAAATTACAACCAGGCTGCTCCTTCCTATGCATACCACTCTTGGTTAAAATTATTTGAATATCTGTCCCCAATCCTGAATCAGAAGGGTCCCAAAATGAAGGATCTATTTTAATTCCTCTTATCAATTGATCATGTGAAATAACACAAATTAAATGGAAAGATTTGGGCTGGGAATGAGTTCTGTGGTAGAATGCTTGTCTGGAGGAAGATGGGGGAGGGGGTACTAAGATGCGTATTAAATAATAAAGGTGGTAACAGATTTGAAGGTAGCCTTAATTTTTTTTTTTTGGGGGGGGGGGACGGTTGTGGGGCCTGAACTCTGGGCCTGGGCGCTGTCCCTCAGCTCTTCAGCTCAAGGCTAGCACTCTAGCACTTGAGCCACAGTGCCACTTCCGGCTTTTTTCTGCTTATGTGGTGCAGAGGAATTGAACCCAGGGCCTCAAGCATGCGAGGCAAGCATTCTATTACTGAGCCAACTTCCCAGCCCCAAGCCTTAAAATTTTTTTTAAAAAAACTAACATGTATGACAACATAAGCTAATGAAAGCCAATGGATTGTAGCCAAGTCATAAAGCCATATAAGGAAGGTATAAATTTATTATTTTGGAAGAGACAGGATGAGCAAAATAGTGCACTTAGAAGAGAGTTTCTTAGTTTAGGTATGAACAGTAAGGTTTATAAATATCAAGAGGCTCAGTACAAATGGCACTGAAGGTATTACTTTTAAACAAACATACTTAATGTTATTTTGTTCTCTAGTAACAATTCGATTTTGGAAGAGGAAAGACCTTGCTTTAAGTCTCTGGTTGACTGAGAGAAAAGTAGTCCATAAGTATTTGTTGAAAGAATTAAAATTTTTAGCCTTCAAAAACTATACTTAATCAACAAATTGAGTTAAAAATTTTCTGTTGATTGGAATATACTGTAATATTTGTAAAGCTAGTTTAAAGTAATTTTAAAAATTTTCTAAAGATAAATTGAAAATAATTATTAATAGTAAATGATTTCTGAAAAAAACAACATTGTTCATCAAATGTAATTATATTAGAAAAACATGCATCTCTTGTGGTTTTCATCTATTTAATTCTCCTTTAGGAAGCAAAAAGCAAGATTTGCTCTGCTGATGTCTGAACAAAATATACCATTTTTAAGTGAATAGGACTAATCTAAGATGACCCCTTTTTCAAATGAAAACTTGCCTTAATAGCCTCAGTTAGGATTGCATCCATCTTCGGACGTGGAGAAGAAGCCATTGGGGTTTGTTTCTGGGCCCTGGCTAACTGGCTGGCAGAAAGGGTGGCCCAGGAAGGTATTGTTTTTTTCACTTTCTTCTCCTTTTCTTTGGGCTGATCTTTCTCACTTTAAAACAAATAACTTTTATTAAACAAGATGAAACTCAAGAAAAAGGTACAGTCTACATTCTATGCCCACATGTTTCAAATTTGGGGATTCTAAAATGAGAAATTATAAATATTTGAGAAAAAAAATGCATTTATACTGAACAAGTACAGAGTTCTTTTGCCGTTATTCACTGAGCCATACAGTACAGCAACTTTTTACAAAGCATGTACACTGTATTGAGTATTGCAAGCAATCTATGGTAGACAGAATTCAAAGTTTGTGTTTTAGCTGTAACACTTAGTACTAGCTATCTGATTCATTCACATTAGCAAGTAATGATGTCTCAGTCACCGCAGGTGTAAAATTATTGTAATACTAACTACTACTATGAGATTATGCATATTCAAACAATTTATAAGTAAGACCATTACTTTATTCTAAGTAATCACAGATCTAACAGTAAATCTAATATGTGTACCATAACACTTTAAAACATAGCATAGCTGCTAAAAAATCCCAGACCTTACTTCTGCCTATGAAACACAATATAGGGTTCCCTGAGGATTACAAATACAAGCTACAGCTATTCCTGTTTTATTTAAAAAGCAATTTCTAACTTTCATGAACAAATGTGAAAGTAACACACCAAACACTATAAGCTATCATGCAAAATAAATAAAAAATTCAAACAGATTGGATCACTTCTTATAGATACAGATGACTGACTGTAAATTTTGCCTTTAGTTGCTCTGAACCAACTTCAATTGAAAATTTGATTGAGTACACAGAGGTTTACAAGTCACTCCTAATAATGGCTTGCTGTGATGCTTCTACATAAGCACAACAAAAATAAGTCATTTCTAGCACAGAGACAGGGATAAAATGACGTCTTTTACATCAGATTTTAATAGTTGTTTTTCATTTCTAAGTTTCTGAACCACGATCCTCAGATCTCAGCCTCCTGAATAGCCAGGATCACAAACATGAGCCACCAGTGCGCAGCTCCCTGAGCTTTTTCCACTCAAGGCAAGCGCGCTACCACAGTGCCATTTCTGGCTTTTTCTGCTTATGTGGTGCTGAGAAATCAAACCCAGGAGCTCATGCATGCAAGGCAAGCGCTCTACTACTAAGCTACCTTCTCAGGCCCTCATTTCTAAGTCTTTGACAATGCTTAAAATATTCAACATTTGCACAATGTATTCTATACACAAACACATACTGCAAGGCAGATAGGAAAGGATAATTAATTACTCAAAGCACGGCTCTGCTAACCACTACAAATTCTAAGTGCCATGTAACTACATAAAACCATTTCAACTGATAATTCTGAAAAGCTTATCCAAACAGCACATACCTAGCATATAGCAATACTGTGATAGTCTGATCTACTGTACTTTTACAGTCTTATCTATAAATGCCAAGAAGGCACAACTCCTTACTCCTTTTTGGTTTCCTCAGAAGACTTGTTTTCTTCCTTTTCTTCCTTCTCAGGCTCCCCCTTGGGCTGTTCTGTCTCACTAGACATAGCAGGTGGAGTTTCATTCTCTGGTTCTTCTACAGTGGAGACAGATTCCTCTGAACTGACATCTGGTTCTAAACAATCAGGTGAGAACTGTATCAAGTAGATATATTAAAAGCACTCTCCTAGTCAAGAAAAGGTCAGTGTTTTGCTTAACAGGTGAATTCTAAAATGAACAGCAGCTGGACACTGTGGCTCATGCCTGTAATCCTCGGAACTCAGACATGGGGCTGTGGCTCAAGTGGCAGAACTCTAGTCTTGAGAACAAAACATCACAGAGAGTACCCAGGCATTGAGTTTAAGCCTCAGGACTAGCACAAAAATAAAACGAACAACAAATGACTTTGAATAATTTTCTTCTCAAGAGAATAATTTTCTTCTCTTTCTTGAGGTGAGGTGGGGGGAGGGATGTGTATGTGTGTACTGTCCACTAAATTTCCTCCCCACACCTCTTTCATTCTTTTTTGTTTTGTGTTGGTCGTGGGGCTTGAACTCTGGGCCTGGATGCTGTCCCTCAGCTCTTCAGCTGAAGGCAAGCACTCTACCACTTGAGCCCCAGCACCACTTCTGGTTTTCTGGTGATTTACGGGAGATAAGTTTCATGAACTTTCCTGCCCGGGCTGGCTTTGAACCCTGATCCTCAGATCTCAGCCTCCTGAGTAGCTAGGATTACAGGTATGAGCCACTGGCGCCCAGCTAATTTCTAACTCAATGACTTTAGACAAAGATGCTCATTTTCAATACTAAGAACGTTATACTTCACCTTCCAAGAATGAGTAAGAGAGAAAATGCAATCTTACAGCTTCTTTCTTTAAAAGTTCCCCCATAACACTCAGCACTGAGGAAAAACTGCAATGAAATTCAAAGATTGATGGAACACTTCAAATAAAAGAATAAATATTTTGCCTTCTTTAGTTGTGCCTGCTTTACACTACCTGGCTTTTCTTCCTCTCCTTCAACAGGTTTGCTTTTGGGTGGAGTCTCCCGGGTAGAATTCACAGCCCGTCGAATTGGCATGGTGTTATCTTCTACCTTCTAAGAAAAGAGATGGCCATAATCAAACATGCACTAAAAATGTTTTCTCTTTCTCAAGGGACCTAACTGGGTGTCAAAAGATGTAGGAGAATTCTTCAAGTCAACTCCAGGATCTGATACAAATTACTTTTCAAAGTTTTTTTTAAATGAAATATGCTTCAAAGTATTTTATTTCAGATAGAATTTTATATGGAAATGATTATTCTTGGCTTGGAATAAATTTAGAAGGTTGGCAATTCCTTTAGGAATTTGTGGGAAAGGGGAAGATGAAAAGAACTTTGTATCTATTTTTCAGTCACCACTGTACTCTCCCTGAAGGTGGGGGAGGGAACATGTACCAAGAAGAACCCAGCAGAGCCTGAAGTCAGGGGTTGATCCAAGAGTGAGCTTCAAGAATGTGTCAGCCCCTACCTCACCTAACTTGTCCGCGTGGATCAGCTGAGCTCCTACTATAAGTGGGAGTGCCTTAGGATGGACGAGTTCACCTTGAGACGTATCAGTCGCCATTTAAAATAATTTCTAGGCCTGAATACAGGTTACACACTCTGAAGCCTCTGCTGTTAACCACAAGGATTTTTCCTAATGGTTTCAGTGTGGTGAAGAGTCAACCTAAAGCACAGAAAAGACCCGGTGTGAAGATTAACAGAAACAAAACTAAACTGTCTAAATTTAATATATATCCAAAGGGAGGGGGGGAATTAAAACTTACAGTTAGGTGACAGGTGATTTAGTTACTCAAAAAGAAAAAAAACCACCATCAAAATAGAGTATGTAAAGCAGTGACTGAGACAAATGCGTAAGCCACAGCAGCTGTTGCAACGTCCACATGAACAAAGGCAACGAAGACAAGAAAGCTCATAAGGAACCAAGCTCCATCCCCTCCTATTATCATCAGGGGCTTAGAAACACTAGGGAACAGTTTAGTCAAATGTTGGTTCAAGGGTCAGTTTATTAGACAATGTTTTTATTACTGTTCTCAAAGGGGTCATTAAATAAATAAGTAGATAAATAATCCTTTTCTCTATTAAGGGAAAACACAAGGACTCAAAATACTGCTGAAGAACTTTCTAAGAGCCTTTCAAACCAGAGGCTTTTAGAGAGTCAAAGGAGAATAGAAATATACTTTGAAAACCTAATTTGTTGTTGTTGTTTTTGGGTCCGGTTGTGGGGCCTGAACTCTGGGCCTCGGCGCTGTCCCTCAGCTCTTCAGCTCAAGGCTAGCACTCTACCACTTAAGGCCCAGCACCACTTTCGGCTTTTTTCTTTTTGCTTATGTGGTGCTGAGGAATTGAACCCAGGGCCTCATGCATGCAAGACAAGCGCTCTACTACTGAGTCACCTTCCCAGCCCCCAATTTGTTGTATTTTTAATGTAAGTAAAAATAAAATAAGAAAATAGTCATAGCTAAAACCTACAGTCAATCAAACCTGCCTTACTGATCATTAATACTGCTTTCCCCTCAAAAATTTCATCTGCTCCTGTAATTCTTGGCTAGCCTGAGATGGAAATGGGAGGAGGTGGAGACAGGATTTAGGACAGCCAAAAAAAAAAAAAAAAAAAAGTGAAACCCTATCTCAAATTAATCAAGGAACAAAACTAGGTGGCTCAAATGGTAGAGCACCTACCTACTAGATAGGATTTCACTGTTCAAATCCCAGTAGTTTAAAAAAACAAAAAACAAAAACAAGCCAGGTGTGGAGGCCAGCTACACCAGGGTTCATCTAAGGCCAGCCCTGAGCAGAAATAAGACCCTATCTGAAGAATAAGACAAAAAAAGACATGATTCAAGCACTTTTCTAGCAAACTTAAGGTCAAGAGCTCAAACCTTATAATGCTAAAATACAAAACAAAAAGAAAATTAACCCTATCTAGGAATTTAAGAGTTTTTAGATTGTCAAGTAACTGAATCCAAACCTAAAATGAACTAGGTAGTTTTTGTTGTTGTGGTTGCTGCTGTTGGTGGTGGTGATAATTGTTTTTGCTTTGGGTTTTTTTTCCCCTGTCTTTTTAGGGGGGCTAAGGGGTTGCAGAAAGGGAAGGGAGGAAGGGTAAACAAACACAATCATGGTATTCAGTATACACCATGTAGAGAATGAACTCTGTGGGCAGGGATGGGAAAAGCAAATGGTAAGAAATGTATTGATTACCTAACTTATGAAATGATAACCCTTCTGTACCACACTGATAATAACAATAAAATTATATAAAAAAACATTTCAACACAAAGAATGCTTCCAACTATGAACTAGCTGCAAGGAAAAGCAAAACAAATAATTTAAGACAGTATAATGAAGTAAAATTTACTAACACTACTCAATTAGAAATATGTACAAATATTTGTAATTAACTGTTATAAGAGCTGAAAATGTAACTTAGTGGCAGAGCATTTGCCTAAGCAGTGGGGCCTGGATTGAATCGCAGCACTACAAACACAAAGTTGCTCAAAACTATATAACATGTTCATTTTACAATTCACCTAAAAAATTACAAAATATAGAAATGAGCCATGCATGGTGGCACAGCATATGTAAATCCTTATTGCGAAACTTTCAGATGATGAGTTGGGAGGCCAGCCTGGGGCTGCATAGTAAAATCCTCAAAAATCAAACTTAAAACAAACAAGACCCCAGAAATGAGCTTGTTTTCTTATCTGTGATGAAGGCTAAGATGGTTTAAGGGCCTTATTTAGGTTTACAAAAGTTAAAAACCTGGAGCTGGGAATGTGGCTTAGTGGTAGAGCACTTGCTTGGCATGCATGAAACTCTGGGTTCAATTCCTCAGTACCACATAAACAGAAAAAGCCGGAAGTGGTGCTGTAGCTCAAGTAGTAGGGCACTAGACTTGAACACAGAGAGGCTCAGTGACAGTGACCAGGCCCTGGTTCAAGCCCCAGGACTGGCAAAAAAAAAAAAAAAAGTTAAAAAACCTATCTTGTGGGGCTGGGAAGGTGGCTCAGTGGTAGAGCGTTTGCCTTGCATGCATGAGGCCCTGGGTTCGATTCCTCAGCACCACATAAGCAGAAAAAAAAAAAGGAAAAAAACCGGAAGTGGGGCTGTGGCTCAAGTGATAGAGCGCTAGCCTTGAGCTGAGGGACAGTACCCAGGCCCAGAGTTCAAGCCTCACGACTGGACCCCCCCAAAAAAAAAAAACAAAACAAAAACCAATCTTGGGATAATTTACACACATACAACTAAGGCCTTGCACTAGCTAAGCAGGTAAGAGTCTCACTTCCTGCTCATTCCTAGGCTGTAACTTGCCTGTTTTAGGCTTTTCATAATAGGATAACAGGCATGTACCACTGTGCACAACTCTGGGTTGAGAAGGGTCCCACAAACTTTTCCCCTAGGGTGAATATCCTCCCAATTGCAGCCTCCCAAGTAGCTAGGATTAGGGGCATGAGCCACTGGTGCCCACTTACATTTTCATAATAAAAATAATGAAAACTATGTAAATCTGGTATGTTATACAAATACTATGAAAAAGTGGAACAATCATATGATAACAATAGTTAAATAGGCTAAGTTTCCCTGATCAAAGGTATCTTAATTTTTTTGTTTTTGTTTTTGGGCTGGTCCTGGGCTTGAACTGAACCCCAGTACTGTCCCTGAGCTTTTGTGTTCAAGACTAGTGATTTACCACTTGAGCCACAGCTCCATTTCTAGGTTTTTTTTTTTTTTTTTTGGTGTTTAATTGGAGATAGTCTCACAGACTTTCCTGCCTGGGCTGGCTCCAAACCATGATCCTCAGATTTCAGCTTCCTGAATAACTAGAACATAGGCACCTAGCTCAAAGGTATCTTAAAAAAAAAAAATTCCGGGCTGGGAAGGTGGCTCAGTGGTAGAGCACTTGCCTTGCATGCCTGAGGCCCTGGGTTCCATTCCTCAGCACCACATAAGCAGAAAGCAAAAAGTCGGAGTGGCGCTGTGGCTCAAGTGGTAGAGCCCTAGCCTTGAGCTGAAGAGCTGAGGGAGAGCGCCCAGGCCCAGAGTTCAGGCCCTATGACCGAACCCTCCACCCCCCCAAAAAAACATCCTTGTCAACAAATACAGAAAAAACTGTCAAACCCTTTCCAGTCAAGTCTGTACTCATCAATCACTAATAAACAGATTTATTTTTGTTTTTTGGTAGTGAGGCTTGAAACTCTGGGCCTGGTCGCTGTCCCTCAGCTCTTCAGCTCAAGGCGCGCACTCCACCACTTGAGCTACAGCGCCACTTCCGGTTTTCTGTGGTTTATTGGAGATAAGAGTTTCACAGACTTTCTTGCCCAGGCTGGCTTTGAACCGTGATCCTCAGATCTCAGCCTCCTGAGTAGCTAGGATTAAAGGCGTGAGCCACCTGTGCCCAGCTTAATAAACAGATTTAAAAAGCAATAAAAGAGATATAGGAAGCCGGGTGCTGGTGGCTCACGCCTGTAATCCTAGCTACTCAGGAGGCTGAGATCTGAGGATCGCGGTTCAAAGCCAGCCCGGGCAGGAGAGACCGTGAGACTCCTATCTCCAATAAACCACCAGAAAACCGGAAGTGGCGCTGTAGCTCAAGTGGTAGAGCGCTTGCCTTGAGCTGAAGAGCTGAGGGACAGCACCCAGGCCCAGAGTTCAAGCCCCACGACCGACCCCCCCCCCCAAAAAAAAAGAGATATAGGAAGCAACTGCTAACATCAAAGTGAGAAAAAAAAAAAAACTAAAAATTAAAATCAGGGCGACTATCAGTTCATATATACATAGATGCTGGGTGCCATTTCCTCATGCCTGTACATCCTAGCTACTCAGGGGGCTGAGATCTGAACACAGCAATCCAAACTCAGCCAGGGCAGGGAAGTCCTTGAGACTCTCATCTCCAATTAAACATTAAATATCTGGAGGCGGAGCTGTGGCTCAAATGGTAGTAGAGTGCTAGGCCTTGAGCATAAAAGCTCAGGGACAAAGACTCAGGCCTTGAGCTCAAGCCCCAGGACTGATGCAGACATACACATACAAAAAACCAAATTAAAAAGTATTTCTCAGATTGGAATCATGATAAAATAGGTTGGGCCATCAATCTTCCTGCTGTATCCACCAAGAATTTAACCCACTGCTGTACCCACATGATGTCCAACATACAGGGAGTACTCCATATTCACTAGGAAAAAAAGTCAAATGAACAGTGACACCTGATAGAACTTATAACTATACCTGGGACATAAAATCTAGAATGAGGCATTTGTGGTACATGCCTATAGTCCCAGCTACTTAGGAGACTGAGGCAGAGGTATCACTGGAGTTCAAGTTCAAGACACAGCAAGAACTCTATCTCACCCCCTTCTCCCCCTTCCAAAGTAACACACCATAGTATTTGAGATCCTGAGAAATTCTTACTTTGGCTCTGAATTTCCTTAGTAAAGTTTCAATAAGTTATCTGATAAACTCAGGGTTGGAAGTTTACAGGATTATACCATACGGGTGGGAAACACACCCACCTTACCATCACTATTTACCTATTACTAAGCTTTCTGTTACAGCAATTCTGAATGATCTCTTTTAGGTCACCACACTTGTTCCTGCAGGCATCATTTCTACTGCCACTGCAGCACTTCAGTTTTTATCTTGTAAGTGCCCAAACAAGATCTGTTTACCTGTGATTTACCTGGTTCTGGGAACATGGGTTTGTGAGAGGTTGGGGATTTCTTTTATAGTTTCCGGTTGTGTATGAGTTGTTTTTAAGTTTAATGTTAGGTTATACAAAAACAAGGAAAATGCCAAATTAAGCTGTTTAGTACAGGCAAAAAGAAAAATAAACCTGGAAAAGTCCAAAGTCCAAAACCTTGGTTTAATTTATTACCTCTATTTAAAAATAAAAGTTTTTTTTCCTTCTTAATTAAGTAGGAGTTTGACTGTGCATTTCAGTTTATCTTAATATGCATTTCGGGGAAAGTATTATGTCCTAATTCCTATAAAATAATTTTATGCATTCTAATGTAACCAACGATACACTGGATACCTTAACTTGCTTCCAATCTAGTCTTTCCCTACTCTCAGGATTAAGTCACAGAGATAACTTTTACTTTATCCACTTTCATCTTTCATTAAACCAACATTTAGCTGATGCTCATCTACGGTATAAAAGTTGGAAAACCACACAGGCCCCT